GGATATTTTTATCATATAGCTGCCATAGGAACGGTCGAAAAATTAAATGAAAATTATAAGGAAAAAAATTATATCTTTGTTGATTTTTATTACATTCTCTTCTCCGTCCGTCTGTCCGTCCGGTTCTACGCAAACTAGTCTCTCAGTTTTCAAGCTATCGGGATAACACTTTCCCAAAAGTCTTCTTTCTATTGCAGGTAGTATATAAGTCGGAACGAGCCGGATCGGACAACTATATCATATAGCTCTCATAGGAACAATCGGGAAAAAAAATGTAAAAAAATTATATCTTGGGTGTTTTTGAACCTATAACATCCTACTTTTGGAAATGTCATTTTTTATCTAATTCTGAATTTCGAATAAAATTTTTTCAAAATCGGACGACTATATCATATAGCTGCCATAGGAACGATCGGAAAATTAATAGGAATATAATAGGAAATAAATTATTGCTTCGTTGGTTTTTATTTTATTCTCTTTTACTCTAGGATATAACTCTTTTCAAATATTTTCAAATTTCGTTTTTAATTTTATCAAAATCGAACTACTATATCATATAGCTGCCATTGAAACGAACGCAAAATTAATGAGAAATAATAGGAAAATTAACATTTTTGCGATTTGTAAATTAATAGGAATTATCTGCAAGGGCCAGCCGAAGCTAGCTTCCTTTCTTGTTCATTATAAAGCAGGCATTTCGATTTCTGACATTTTAAAACCCAAATCAAAAAAATGGCCAATATGCATTTGATATACCTAAACGGGACTCATCGAGATAAAGCGTTTGAAGCTCTCAAAGATAGTATGCATTTTAACTGCAAGGGGATACTTCGGCCTGCCGAAGTTAACTTCCTTTCTTGTTTTTAAGAAATTTTTTATTTATTTTAAAAATCTCTTTAATTTTTAGTAATTGAAAATAATCTATTAAGGACAATAAAACTTGTTGCCTCACTCGTTCTTATTGAACTTTTCAGAAAGCAGTTGGACGATACATAAATTTATTTAAAAGGAAATCAAAATTTCAATATCTCCTGCTCATGTTGTGGAGAATAAGATGGACTTATAAAAATTATGTTTCTTTCAAGGTTTCAAAATACATCTCTTTGGGTGAAGCTAATTACATCTGCGACAGGAATGTTTTCTACTCAAGAAGGATACGATATGGCCAAAACATTCTATGATAAACACAATGGACAGTTTGGCAGTGCACAGCACCTTATAGAGAGATCACTGCGAAATATCAAAGAAGAAGTCCGTTGGAGTGAACAAAATTTGCCCGTCATAGAACAGTGGATTGACAATTTTTTGACTCACACCCAAAAGACAAATGCTTAATTGCATTTACAGAATATATCCAATGTAATGTTTACTCGCAAATAAATTTCCATTTTATTTTTAATGAATATGTAGGTGAAGGCTGCTGCAAAAGTAAGTTTTTGTTAGAAAATGAACACCAAATTCTTACAGGGGTAAGGTAATTGCAATAAGTTTCTGTTCTTAGTAAAAACAAGAAGGGAAGCTACCTTCGGCCAGCCGAAGCTTATATACCCTTGAAGATTAAAGAATGCTTACTCGGTGCAGTTCCAGGGATCCAGATTCAGCGTTTCTATTTATTTAAATTTAGTTTTTAAGTAGTCAAGAATCAAAACGCCTACTACAAAGTTACAATGAATTTTCTTATATTTTTTTGAATATTCCTATGGGAGCCTTAAGATATAGTGGTCCGATCCGGCTCGCTCCGACATATGTACTACCTGCAATAGAAAGAAGACTTTCGGGAAAGTTTCATCGCGATAGCTTTAAAACTGAGAGACTAGTTCGCATAGAAACGTACAGACGGACAGACGGACATGGCTAGATGGACTCGGCTATTGGTGCTGATCAAGAATATATATACTTTATGTGGTCGGAAACGTCTCCTTCACTGCGTTGCAAACATCTGACTGAAATTATAATACCCTCTACAAGGGTATAAAAATAAATCAGTTCTTAAGGGCAAGTTGGTAACATCTTTTTTGGAGAAAAAAATAAGTATGTCGGGGAGGACCGAACTTGCCCCGTGAACGGAAGAGCAGATTTCAAGAGCAGATTTCTTTCACGGTCTTTATTCTCAACTTTCTGTGGTCTTAACTTAACATTGTTTCCTTCCTTAAGGTTTAAGTTGGTATTAACTTAACAAAACTTTTCAGTATACAGTCATAAATAAAACATAAATGTAATAGGAATTCACAAAACAAATATATTTTCTTTTGCATTTGTTTCTTACACCTCTTTCTCTTCAACCGGCTTTCAACTTTTCAACCATAACTCCATCTCTTTCTCATGCACATGTTGCACACCTTGCAACGCACAATCTGCGTCATGGTCCCACTGGACCCAAATAGCCCCCGGCATACAGTTACTGCGGAGCTAACTGCATGGTGCGGTTATAGCCTTGTAAATGTTTTACACTGAGTCTATAGTATCTACGAGTGCCTTTTCTATATTCTGTAGTGCATTCGATCTTACATTGTCGATATCTATTTCTATTTCTTCTACCAACGACATCATGCTCATTGGTCTAGCTTCCTTACCAATTAAACGTTCTAATGGACTTATCTTCGTAACTCTATTGGCCTTGCAATTCATTGCTAACTGAACCTCCTTTAAGGCTTCTTGCCAGGATCGCTCACTTGTCTCTACCGCTGTCATGGTACTCATTACACGCTCCACCTGTCCATTATTAAGTCTATTTTTTGTGTAGCACAGAACTGCCTAACATCGTTACTGGCAAGACTGCGGCCCTGGTCGGCAATTATTTGACTTGGTACCCCAAACATACAGATAGTTGATTTTAAGGCCAAGGGAGTGATGCAAATGAACGTATGTAGTGAAGGCATCTATTTGCACTATTACATATTCTTTAACGTCATTCTTACCACTCAGCTTGCCACTGATGTCTATGTGCACTGTATGCCAATGTACACTGACTTTTGGTATGGGATGGAGTTTTACCTGCGCCTTTCCCGAAGTTGATTTGGAAAGTTTGCATGTGATGCAATTGTCTACAAATTTTCGTACGTATTTAGACATACTCGGAAACCATGTGTGCATAGCTTGTCTAAAGTCTTCTCCCAGCCCAAGTGCATTAGTGCCTCATGCACGTGATTGATTACGGACCATTTAAACCAGGGGTGCTCAAAACTGCCTTATGGCAGTGCAGTTACAAACACCATTAAAGGAAAAACACACGCACGCGAGTAACAAGTCACACACAGTCATGAAAAAGACAACAACACTTTGCATTGTGAGTTGAGGAGAAAAAAAAAACATCAATGGAATTTGTTGTTGGCTTGGCTCGCTCTTATCTATTAAGGACATCGACACAAAGAGGACTCGGGGTGTGCATAGGCAAGCATTGCGAGTGCACTGCCGTATGCTTAGTGCTATTTCAAAAACAATTGTGCTCGTGTGCCAAAGGAATAAGCACCCCTGAATTAAACGCTCGTGGGATTACCGGCAGACATCGATTTCTTCCATTTCTTTGTATTTTCCGGTATAACATACAGATAGATCGCAACTCATACGTTTTTGCATCTTCTAACTTTAGTTCACTGTCTTACAGCTTTGATACTAGTTCGGAAATTTCGGAATCTCGATGCTGTTCAGCAATCAGCCAGTCGTCGGATATATTTGCTAGATCTATTCGCACTTTTGTTGTTTTTTTAGTCTGCTTAACAATTGGTAATGGATTGCGTGAGAGGAAATCTACATGTGCCATGCTACTTCCCTTCCTATACTCTACCTCGAACTCGAACCTCGAAGCTAGACCAATGGGCATGATTCCGTTGGTAGAAGAAATAGAAATAGATATCGACAATGTAAGATCGAATGCACTACAGAATATAGAAAAGGCACTCGTAGATACCATAGACTCAGTGTAAAACATTTACAAGGCTATAACCGCACCATGCAGTTAGCTCCGCAGTAACTGTATGCCGGGGGCTATTTGGGTCCAGTGGGACCATGACGCAGATTGTGCGTTGCAAGGTGTGCAACATGAGCATGAGAAAGAGATGGAGTTATGGTTGAAAAGTTGAAAGACGGTTGAAGAGAAAGAGGTGTAAGAAACAAATGCAAAAGAAAATATATTTGTTTTGTGAATTCCTATTACATTTATGTTTTATTTATGACTGTATACTGAAAAGTTTTGTTAAGTTAATACCAACTTAAACCTTAAGGAAGGAAACAATGTTAAGTTAAGACAACAGAAAGTTGAGAATAAAGACCGTGAAAGAAATCTGCTCTTGAAATCTGCTCTTCCGTTCACGGGGCAAGTTCGGTCCTCCCCGACATACTTATTTTTTTCTCCAAAAAAGATGTTACCAGCTTGCCCTTAAGGACTGATTTATTTTTATACCCTTGTAGAGGGTATTATAATTTCAGTCAGATGTTTGCAACGCAGTGAAGGAGACGTTTCCGACCACATAAAGTATATATATTCTTGATCAGCACCAATAGCCGAGTCCATCTAGCCATGTCCGTCTGTCCGTCTGTCCGTTTCTATGCGAACTAGTCTCTCAGTTTTAAAGCTATCGCGATGAAACTTTCCCGAAAGTCTTCTTTCTATTGCAGGTAGTACATATGTCGAAGCGAGTCGGATCGGACCACTATATCTTAAGGCTCCCATAGGAATATTCAAACAAATATAAGAAAATTCATTGTAACTTTGTAGTAGGCGTTTTGATTCTTGACTACTTAAAAACTAAATTTAAATAAATAGAAACGCTGAATCTGGATCCCTGGAACTGCACCGAGTAAGCATTCTTTAATCTACAAGGGTATATAAGCTTCGGCTGGCCGAAGGTAGCTTCCCTTCTTGTTTTTACTAAGAACAGAAACTTATTGCAATTACCTTACCCCTGTAAGAATTTGGTGTTCATTTTCTAACAAAAACTTACTTTTGCAGCAGCCTTCACCTACATATTCATTAAAAATAAAATGGAAATTTATTTCCGAGTAAACATTACATTGGATATATTCTGTAAATGCAATTAAGCATTTGTCTTTTGGGTGTGAGTCAAAAAATTGTCAATCCACTGTTCTATGACGGGCAAATTTTGTTCACTCCAACGGACTTCGTCTTTGATATTTCGCAGTGATCTCTCTATAAGGTGCTGTGCACTGCCAAACTGTCCATTGTGTTTATCATAGAATGTTTTGGCCATATCGTATCCTTCTTGAGTAGAAAACATTCCTGTCGCAGATGTAATTAGCTTCACCCAAAGAGATGTATTTTGAAACCTTGAAAGAAACATAATTTTTATAAGTCCATCTTATTCTCCACAACATGAGCAGGAGATATTGAAATTTTGTTTCGTTTTAAATAAATTTATGTATCGTCCAACTACTTTCTGAAAAGTTCAATAAGAACGAGTGAGGCAACAAGTTTTATTGTCCTTAATAGATTATTTTCAATTACTAAAAATTAAAGAGATTTTTAAAATAAATAAAAAATTTCTTAAAAACAAGAAAGGAAGTTAACTTCGGCAGGCCGAAGTATCCCCTTGCAGTTAAAATGGATACTATCTTTGAGAGCTTCAAACGCTTTATCTCGATGAGTCCCGTTTAGGTATATCAAATGCATATTGGCCATTTTTTTGATTTGGGTTTTAAAATGTCAGAAATCGAAATGCCTGCTTTATAATGAACAAGAAAGGAAGCTAGCTTCGGCTGGCCCTTGCAGATAATTCCTATTAATTTACAAATCGCAAAAATGTTAATTTTCCTATTATTTCTCATTAATTTTGCGTTCGTTTCAATGGCAGCTATATGATATAGTAGTTCGATTTTGATAAAATTAAAATCGAAATTTGAAAATATTTGAAAAGAGTTATATCCTAGAGTAAAAGAGAATAAAATAAAGACCAACGAAGCAATAATTTATTTCCTATTATATTCCTATTAATTTTCCGATCGTTCCTATGGCAGCTATATGATATAGTCGTCCGATTTTGAAAAAATTTTATTCGAAATTCAGAATTAGATAAAAAATGACATTTCCAAAAGTAGGATGTTATAGGTTCAAAAACACCCAAGATATAATTTTTTTACATTTTTTTCCCGATTGTTCCTATGAGAGCTATATGATATAGTTGTCCGATCCGGCTCGTTCCGACTTATATACTACCTGCAATAGAAAGAAGACTTTTGGGAAAGTGTTATCCCGATAGCTTGAAAACTGAGAGACTAGTTTGCGTAGAACCGGACGGACAGACGGACGGAGAAGAGAATGTAATAAAAATCAACAAAGATATAATTTTTTTCCTTATAATTTTCATTTAATTTTTCGACCGTTCCTATGGCAGCTATATGATAAAAATATCCGATTTTTTAAATATTTAAGAAATTAACCATTCAAAACAATGTTTTAAAAACAATTCTTTTGCTGTTTATCATCGTATCGTAGAAAGTGTCATGGAGTTATGTTCTTACATAAACTTATTAATGGTGATGTCGACTCCCCTTTCCTTCTTAGTTCACTTAACTGGAATGTACCCTGTAGAACAGTTCGCCGTTTTCGTCCGTTGTCCCTGCCAATATGTAGATCTAATTATGCCCTGCATGATCCTTTTCGTGTTCTGTGTGACGACTATAATTCACTGTGCCACATCTTACTGTTTGATACCCCCAATGCTACTAATTATAATAAACTTATGTATTTTCTGTCTTCAAATAATTTATAAATTCTTTGTAAGCATGTATTTTAAACTGTCTATTGTTAGATCGTATTTTCTCCATGTCCGCGATTCCGCTTACTTGCCCAATACGGTTTAGGGCTCCGCTCGTAACAAGCTTTGCTTGGTGTCATAAGGGCCACTTGTTTGTACTGACCATAATGCATCAACGTCCAAGAGTAGAATATGGGATTGCTCCTCCCCGTGCCCGCCGATGCACACTGGTTGATCTAGTATGGTAGAGGCGGCCAAAAATACTTCCAGTTGGAATATTGGGCTGAAAATTTGTGTACTGCCATATAGACCCAATTTTATAAATAAAATAAAAATAAATTAAAAAACCATACGTTAAAGTCCGTAAATATTAGAAAACAACATTTTAAGACTTAAATTTAATTGCATACATTAGGGTAAGGAAATCTCTTATTAATAAAAGATATTTTATTTAAATTTTATTTTTATTGGTTCACAATATATATACTAGCTTTAAAAAAAATAAAATCTTCAATTTAAAACTTCACAATTGAGCAATTAAGATTTCAAAGCACAAAACAATATGACGAAAAAAAATATGCACGAATACAAAAGAGCGTATAACTCAGAAAGTTGCAAAAAGTTGCAGCTCAAATTTACAACATAGACTAAGAAAACATTCACTAATATTTAGAAATTAGTTTCATCAAAGGGTAAGAAGGGATTCACAACTTTTTCTTTATCTGAAATCGATGTATACAAAAAAAAAAGCGCCACTCACCAGGTCACTGCTAAAACAATAATTTTAAAACAATAACACAACACATAATAACATAAAAATTACTCAGTTTTATAGGACATACCTTAACATTCAATATACCTTTTACATGCCGACGATTTGACACGATTTAGTAATAGAAATTAATTTTTTAGTGGAAGCTTATTTTGGGGCAGCGTTCTCTGTAACGTGCACGTGTTTTTTTGTCTCACTTCTCTCGCTATTCGTAGCGTGTACGTGAGACCAAAAATTAATTTACCGTTCGATTTATTGGTCTGTTATGAAATATTTTTTAGAAAAAAATATGCAATTTCAGATTTTTGTTTTTTTATTTTTAGCCTATGAAATCAACCACTGTGCGATGGTAGCATTCGCCCTGGTAAGAACTGTTGTCTCCCCACAGTTTTGACCTGTGTACCACCTGTTTTACATATACGATCGAAAAATAAATGTGGAGATACTAAGAATTTAAGAAAACAGAGCATGTAAAAAACAGTTGACTATTTCTAGCTGTCTCAAAATACCTCTCACTTCGGGACCCTTTGAGCAAATAGTCACATAGAAACTGTTTATTTTCTTTCAAAAGGTTTTCGGTCTTTGCTCAACCAGTAATCGATTTTTATACCCTTGTAGAGGGTATTATAATTTCAGTCAGATGTTTGCAACGCAGTGAAGGAGACGTTTCCGACCACATAAAGTATATATATTCTTGATCAGCACCAATAGCCGAGTCTATCTAGCCATGTCCGTCTGTCCGTCTGTCCGTCTGTCCGTCTGTCCGTTTCTATGCGAACTAGTCTCTCAGTTTTAAAGCTATCGCGATGAAACTTTCCCGAAGGTCTTCTTTCTATTGCAGGTAGTACATATGTCGGAGCCAGCCGGATCGGACCACTATATCTTAAGGCTCCCAATCAAATATAAGAAAATTCATTGTAACTTTGTAGGAAGTAGGCGTTTTGATTCTTGACTACTTAAAAACAAAATTGAAATAAATCGAAACGCTGAATCTGGAATCCCTGGAACTGCACCGAGTGAGTATTCTTTTATCTACAAGGGTATATAAGCTTCGGCTAGCCGAAGGTAGCTTCCTTTCTTGTTTTGTTTCAAAACGGTTTCGGTTGATCAAAGACCGTTTGAACTGAACGGTGAACAAAAACGGTCTTTTGAGTTTTTATACCTATGTGTTTAAACACAGAAGATGAAAATTGTATTCTGTTTGTCAGTTTATCTCAAAACGATGTTTTAGGATACTAAACAACAACGCCAACTTACTCTCTCGGTCCGGATGGACTTCCTGGGTGTGTGCTTAAGTTTTGTGCATCAACCATTTGCAAACCTATTCTTCAACTTTTTCAATTGTCTATTTCATCATCAGTTTTTCCAACTATCTGGAAGGATTCTTTTATTATTCCACTTCACAAAAAGGGTGCGAAGGCAAATGCCCAGAATTATAGAGGTATTTCTAAATTGTCGGCAATTCCAAAAGCCTTTGAACGTATTATCACTTCTCATTTGCAACATTTATGTTCCTCGCTAATATCACCGTGTCAGCACGGTTTTGTTAAGCGAAGATCGACTACCACCAACCTACTTGAATTGTCATCAATTGTAATAAATGGATTTAACAATAAAATGCAGACTGACGTTGTATATACAGATTTCAGTAAAGCCTTTGACTCTGTTAACCACTCTCTTCTTTTATTCAAATTAGATTTGCTTGGGTTTCCATGTAATCTATTAACTTGGATTTCAAGCTATTTGAATGGGAGGACTCAGAGGGTTATATTTAAGAACGCTGTTTCTAAAATGATCCGCGTGACATCCGGAGTGCCCCAGGGTAGTCATCTAGGCCCTTTGCTGTTTACTTTGTTTATTAACGATCTTCCCTCTATCATAACAAATTCTCGCGAACTAATGTATGCTGATGATGTTAAGCTTTGTTTGACATACAATAATATAGAGTCTGGTTTCGGCTTACAATCAGACATTGATAATTTTCAAGTATGGTGTGAGTATAACCTCTTAAATTTGAACTGCCTGAAATGTAACGTAATGACCTTTCATAGGGGTACTCCTACGTTTATAAGTTATTTGCTTCAGAACTTGCCACTTGACCGTATATATTCAGTAAATGATTTAGGCGTTCTTCTGGACCCGAAGCTTAAATTTGACTGCCACATAATGTCGACAGTCAATAAAGCTATGAGTGTTCTTGGGTTTATAAAGCGTTGGTCAAAAGAATTTGATGACCCTTATATAACCAAATTATTATTTACCTTCCTTGTCCGTCCTATATTGGAATAATGTTCTTCAGTTTGGAGCCCACAATACCAAGTCCACATTGACCGTATAGAGTCGGTACAAAAAAATTTCTCCTTTTTGCCCTTCGTAGTTTGAACTGGGATCAAAACGTAAGGCTACCTTCCTACCAGAGTAGATTATTATTGCTTAATTTACCGACACTGGCAAATCGTAGAAAAATGCTTGGTACCATTTTTATGCATAATCTTATAAGAGGTGATATTGATTCTGTAGAACTTGTTAGCCGCCTAACTTTTAATGTTCCCGTTAGACTAACACGTAATTATCATCCTCTTAATTTATTAATTTATACTATAACTTTCTTTATCATCCCGGTATTAAAAACTAATATTTTAACTCATTTGCTTCACTCCTAACTGCATGTTTTTTTCATTATTTGTCCCGTCTTAATTGGTTTTATGTATTTGTGTTGGCTGTGGCTGCGTACCGACGGAGCCCCAATCTTCAGCAAAATATGATGCGGCGCACAGAGTGATTGTCCACCTGTGGCGGCG